TCCTCTTCCTTCGTCACTGGGTTTGCGTTGTTTGTAGGTGCACAGAATTGGTTAATCTTAACATTTCTACCTTTTGATTTGAAATTTTTTATTATAGTGGTAGGAGAGAATGGTTTCCATTGCACAAGAGCCTTTGTTGCTGCTCGTGAAATTACGGTGTCCACTTCCTCTATGTGTTCATGACTGTCATCTAGGTGATCAGAGTGGGTTAATAAATCTCTGGTTGACAGTTTGGATAGTCCACTTACATCCCTTCTCCTACACGGATTCCTATTATTTCTTCATTGTATCTTCTCATTTATTTTGCAATCCGAACAGCTTTCGCAGCTTCAGCATCCCATGTCTCCACACTTCTTTTCGCCTACATAGAAAGGAGATGCAGCTGTTGACTTGCTTTCAAAAGGCCTCCACCCTTCAGCATCATGCGTCCTCCCTTATTCCAGAGAAGAGTAATTCTACTGCGTATATATTTTAATGTTTTAGCACATATGTTGTTGCTTTTTATAGGGTAAGTTATTATGCCCACACCCAACCCTCCCTCTTTTTCCAAGTTTGGGATTGATAAGGTTACAGACTATTTATATTCAACTAATCTCTCCCTTATTACTTCACACCAACTACATTCATAATAAAATGACCCGCCAACTCAGTATCATCTTCTTTGGTTTAAACCTGAGTCTACTATAATAACCAGCCAACTAATCAACTGAAATGCATTGATGGATTAATTTAATTACTGGCCTCCAAATACGGGTTGAGAGATGTCAGTTTGAGTTTCATAATATATCAATTTTCCGCATGATTTCATTCATAAATCTTCTTGTCATTTTCAGGAAGAATACAGATGTTTGCTAAATACTGTATATTTGTTGATGATGAACCAGATGGTGCTTGAGGTGCTTGACATTTCTTATTTAGAGGAATTTTGAGGTCACCAACTACTTTCTCAAGAAACAACGATGAAGTGACCCAATATGTCGTTCCAGTAAGAATTGATCATTGTTAAGTCAATGCAAAAGTCGCTGTCTGAGCTGAGTCGAACCAGGTGCGCCTTCGATGAGCTTGGCTTCGAAAGAGCAATTAGATTGTGCAGTACCTAGATTACTTCCCTCTGGTCAGTTGATGCAAGTGATTTTCAGAATGCCTATATTAACTAGCAGTGTACACCATTTTACAGGTTCAAAATTTATGTCATTTAAGCGTATGACATGTTCTCATTTGACTACTTTTTAGTTTCCTAAGGAAACTGCTCTCGTTTCTCTTTACTCCGGTTTATACCGTCTCCAAGAGGAAAGAAAGAAAAAGGTAGTTCAGTCTTACTTTTCATCTTTTATGAAAAACACTAACTTACGAGCGAATTGAGTTTGCTCATCTCTCATACTGACATTACACGTTCAACAAACGAGATGACATATTTCACCTAACAATGAACCTCTGCATTTAAACACCTCGTATTTGATAATTCCATTTCCCAGTGTGAAGCATTACACCTTGTTTGACCACCGACTGATATCAGTTAGGGAATCACTGAAAACTAGCAGGGTGTACTAAACAACTGTTTCATCCTAGTCCGGGAGTCATTGGCATTGCTCACCCACTAGGGTTTGGAGTGGAGTCAGGGCCTTCCGGTTACAAGGCAAGCTAGTAGACAATTCAGCTACTGGAATCCAATCCAGTAGCCTATGAACTAAATCTGCTCATAGCCTAGTTGTGGTCATATTTGAAAGAAATCAGATCTCTACAAACTCACCTTTGTTAATTTGCTTTTATCGAGAAATAATGGACTGACAAGTCATATCTGTTGTGGATTTTTTGATATTGAAGAAAGCAGAACTTTATGGAAAATTCATTCACCTCTTCATGAAGAGAATATTCGCTTCACACTAGTAGTGTGCATAGTGTTCAGAAAATCTCATCTTCAGTACTCTGCTTTGGGAAATCATGAGAAGTAGAAGTCTAATTAGCACAAGAAAACCAGTGTTTTACTATTTATAAGCGTTACAAATGTGATATAAACAGTCATGCATGGATCTATCATTTCAAACACTTTTAACACGAATAAACTGTTATATTTATACCAATGGGTTAAGAAATTCGTGTTGAGCGATCTTCAGTAAACACTAAACTCCAGTGAAGAAGTTGTTCTACAGTCACCTTCCAGTTGATTGAGCGATTCTGCGAAAGTTTCATACTTTCCATACTGATATGCTCAGTAAAATACTTTACAGGATTAGGATATTTACTTCAGTCTCTTACAGAGTATCCCATTCTTCTAGAGTACCGTCGATTGGGAAAACTTGATTAGTGCTGTTCCACCTTGTATTTAACCATTTCGTGTCTGGTGAAAAATTACTGCTTCGAATCCCGTTATCAGCTTGTGTAACCCAACCTTGTCTAGAATTATGAACTCAGATTTGATTTGAACCTACTCAGTTTATATGACACCAGATGACCTGCAAAAATATCCTTTTGAAATAAAAACTACTCTCACTTTTTGGCATTTGATGGATGATTTGGAATACAATATTAACCATAGATGAAAAATCAAGTCTTTATTATAGTGATTAAGTGACTAAATTGAGGGCAGGAAGATGACAATCAAGAGTTCAGATATTTTGTTAGGCATTTTGATTTAGGCCCCCAAAAATAACATGGTGGTCTACCTAAGGGAGGTGAAATACCCTGAATCCAAAACAATGTTTTACATTGATTACGGAATCCGAACAGATTGAATGACATGTAAACCTGTATTCTTCACTGTCGAATACGGGAACTCCGCTATTAGCGTTACTCCACTCTCTGGTGAATCAGACCCCAAGTCGAAAGCTTGAAGGGTGGCCCCTAAATATAACCATTCACTTCACTCTTGGCTACCGACTGAGTGTTATCCCAACCATCCTACAGAAAATAAGAACCTGTGTGAAGCATTCCTTAGAGCCCCTAATGTAGCAAGATTGTGATCTAACACATAATAAGTAAATAATCTTGATGAATCTTCCAGTCTATTTTTATTGACATTAAAGAACGTGATATCTGAACCACCACCTCATTACAGGTCTTTTCAAATACACCTGTTGTACCTGTGAATATTTTCCTATTTTGAAAACATGCAAATTCTAATATCAGATGTACACATATGCGCGTGTTGTATCAACTTCGAAATTACCTTACTTGTAAGAAAAACTAAATTTACACAGATTTATTCAATTCAGAACAGGAAATCTAATTGTGGCTTCACTTCATTTTTGTTGATGTGGCGTGTCAAAACAATCATCACCTGTGGCTTTGTTTCTAATTCTCTCTTTTTCTCTTCTCCTTCTTTCTATGCAAAACACAAACAGAAACACAACAAACAGCAAACAAGATTCACCTGATTGGCTAACTAGCAGTTTGTTATCCCTCGCCCCACAGTGACACCTAGAGGGGAAATCCATGCACACATACAATGCATCATTCATCATCTACGATTAAGATAAGTACAAGGAGAAGCAATCTCTCTCTCCTGAATTGTCAGGCAAGTAGTCAACCAGTCTGTTTCATCTGTTTGTGTCTGTATGTGTGTGTATGTGTGTGTACTGTAGAGGTAATTCACTTTCATATTACAGGATTTCATTCTTGCCTTTTGTCTCTCGAGTAAATTAATTTAACATACATTTTCAGAAATCTTGAATAAACCACAAACAGATTATAACTGTAAGGAGAGGGTGTAACAACAAAACAAGAACAATAACACCACCACCAACAACAACAACAAGAACAAGTGACTGTTGTTCCTTGTGGAGCCATATGATTACAATACGAATAACACATTATACATGTACAATTTAACAAATGCATAACTGTTATTCACCTTAAAGGTGTACACCTTCATCAGGCGTATACTGAATCTCAGATGATGAATAAATAAATAAATATTCAGAGGAGATTTAACTTTTGTCTCCACCCCAAAATATTAACAATTACTCACACTCACATACGCACACAAGCACACAGAATCACACACCAACACAAACACATGCAATATTGACAGAGACATTGCAATTACAATCTAATCGGCTACAAAGTGCACATCTGGTTGCGGTGATTGCTGTTGCACACCTTGTACACCTGAACAAAAGTCATTAATTCTACATTTATTTTCAAACCTGTTTGTGTTTTGTCATCTGAGAAAAATTTCTCCGCCTTTTCTTTTGCTGTTTGGATCTTGTAAACTTGTGAAATACAAAAACATAACTCGCTTCTATCTGTATGTGTATATCCACGATCTAATTCGTGAACTTGTAACATCTGTAATTGTCTTTTGGTAGAATTATTTCATTCTGTTCCGAAGATTCCATTGTAAGTCGTCTCTAGTCTATCTCCCTCCCTCTCGCACACACTCACACACACACACACACACACACACTGATTGAGTTTACACAGCATTTGAACAAGTGGAACTGAATGGCGTTAAATAGAAAAGTGGACAGTATTTCTACAGAATTAAACGTGCACAACAATACACATTTAGGTTAAGCATATATTCTGTGGTGAACTGATCCACCCACCAAACCCATCACTCACTCACTCACCCATTCATTCATTCGCTTGTCTTTATAATACTACTACTAATAATAGCAAATCCTCGTGATACTCAGATAGATTACACATGTTAATGGCGTATTATTCTCTTTCATGAGACGATATATACACTTTGCAACACAATTGAATATTAAATGAAAATTACTCAGACAATATAAGATCGTATATACACACATAGACGTGAAAGTTAACAGTGACGAATGCAATGGAATATCTTTCTCACCACAAACAGATTTGTTGAATATTTGAATTTGTGGATGATAGTGGAGAAATAACGAAAGACTGTTTATGCAGTAGTACGCCTTTCTGTTTAAATCGAATATTAGAAAGAATTTCCTTGGAAAAGAGAGTATTACTTGTGTAATTAATTGTTTCATCATCAGCATCATTGTTGGATCTGTGAAATTCAATACGAATTCATGGCCATGTGTATAAAGAATATTTCAACTCTTATCATACATTATTTTCTAATATATTTTGGAATAATTATTTCATTGGATGGTGTCACGTCGGGGAATTGGTGAGTTCCAGTCGTTTGAAATGCTTTATTGAGAGGTTACTTTTTCAAAAACTGTATTCATTTGTGAAATATAGCTGGGGAGAGTTACACGCCGAGTTGGAGTAATTTTTTGTTGATGCGTCTTGTCTTTCAGCTTGTTTCTACTGGTTCGATTAAGAATGACAACTGATCATGTTTCCACCTTCTATGTAGTCTGTTTTGACAGATAAGTGTGTTCAGGAAATCGATGGACTGAACTTAGTTAGTTACAGTGGAACTTTGGATTTCACTCAAATTCCCCAATATTTAGCAGGAATTCAGAGATGAGTCATACTTCCTACCACATTTATTATTAAGTTTTAAGAGACTATAGCTATTGTTTTCACTGTCAGGCTGTTTGATAGTTGTACCATACAGTGTGGAAGACTTTTGCTTACAGGAGATCATATTCAGCTGTTATTCGCGATGTTATCAAATAATATTCAAGCTACAGTAAATGATCGCTTGTATGCTTTTGAGAGATTGGTCCCTAAGCGTTGAGTGAATATCTCGTGCATTTCGATTAGAAATAGAATGATTGTCATACAAGTTAATTTTGAGTTGATGGTGATGTCACTTTTGAAAATTCACTTTAAAAAGAATCCTGACGTGCTTTTGAAGTGTTCTCGCTTGTTTTATGTTGTCCAGACTGACCAAGTGTTGTCCACAATATTCACTAATCGTTTCTCACTTGTTTCCATACTAGATTCAGATTATAACGAAAGAAGGCTGTTTCTGCCTATGTTAATCATTGTGATACATATACCTCCGTAGAGATCTAGTTTCTCTTTGAATGCTTTCACCGATGGAGTTGTTATCACTGAGTCAGGTATTTGTTCGACCTTGGTTTTAGCACCTTGTGGGACCTCTTAAATGTATCCTAGAGGGAGAGAAAAGGTTTGGAAGGTCGATCCCTAAGTTACCTTTTAATATATGGCATGCAGAATTAAGTCGCATCTCTTCCTTTAGTGTGATAATGGAAGAGACTTAAATGCCTCATCCTCCTGTCATAAGGAAGGTGTGAGATGCCACTAACTAATTTGGTTCCTAGCATCTGTATTCTTTCCAGGATATATGCCTTCTTTCTGAAGCATGGGCTCACCGCTTGTATGCAGTATTTAAGATGCGATCTGAAATGTGCTGTATGGAGTGCTTGGAACATACCCTCGTTTAGTCGTTTGGAAGCCCTTCGAAGTGACCATAACATTCGAAAAGGCTTAGCTGCGGCTCGATTAGAATTCGCCGTTGTTTTTAAGCACTGGGTTACAATAATTCTTAAGTCCTTTTGTCATTTAATACCCGACGGTTTTGTGTCGCCCACGGAGTGCGACGCAATACTATCACCCTTTCAAAATGGAATGATATTCTCCTAACTGACGTCTGTACATTACTTATAAATATTTAAGAGAGTAATCGAGTCTATCACTCCAGGTCGAGAGTGAAAGCAATGCAAATGAAGGCAATGATAAGTGAGAAAACTGTAGACAATCAAATTTTCAGCCATCACGCTTACAACACACAAGAACACTGGAAAATCGAACTGAGTTAGAAATCATTTTCAACAATAAACTCTGTGATTTAACAAGGGAACTTTCATCATCCACGTAGAGACATAAATGTGGGCGAACGTCACCTTTGTTTTAATGATATTTCTATACGCCTTGTGTTATTTATCTCTAGCTATGCATTGTCGGACTAAGTGACTGCTTAATTGAAGCAGTGTTACTCTGTGAATGAGTCAGAAGTTTATGCGTGGGTGAAAGAACAGGATTTTACTATACCTTCTTATGCTATATTCATAAGAATTTTTTATCAGACCATTCACAGGAGTGATGATCCCGATGGTGAATCTGAAATATGCATGAGACCGCTGGCTATCCTTAGTTAAAATCATTGGGAAGACACTCCCTATAGTATAAATCACAAGTGGTGAGATGAAGTTATTAATGTTGACCCATCAGTTTTGAGATCCTCACCATCCATATAGTTTTCATAGGATTCTGTTCTCATATTCGTATTAACTCACTTCATCTCATCGCCAGCGTAGTGAAATGTAGCAATGTGATTTACTGAGAAATTTACAATTAACCTGTAGGGCTAGATTCTGCCAATCAAGTAAATGGAATACTGTCGATAAGGTGTACAACAAGATTGGATAGGGCAGGTTATGTGTTCAACTGGAGGAAACAGAATATATATCACGAAAATGATGAGCCTTGCTCTGATTTCAATGTATGCACCGACATGTTTTGTCCTTCATTGTTCATCACTTCTTAGATTCTTCGAGACGTTCTCACCTTCTGCTTGCATTTCTTCTTCTTCAGTGGCTCTTCAAATAAAATGGAATTCGTCACAGTTTCTTTAAAGACCACACTCTATACACTACATTTATGTATAAGTAACACTCCACAGCATGACCCGATTATTCAAAATAGTTTCTACTCACTTTATGCATGTCATTTATTTGACACTCTATCTAGAAAGATTATATCAAAACTGTCTGTGCATGTGAGTGATATTGATATTTGTATTCAGCTATACAGAAGAATATTATGCCACTTCCAACGAACTGATGGGTACTATAAATCATGTGAAATAAGATGGTTTATATAAACAGTATGAAGTAAGTAGTCCGTATTTGTTTGTCGAATTCCACCACTTTTCATTTAGAGCTGAAGACAAGCTCTAAAGATAATCGCTGACTGGATAAACTGTTCCTGTCTGTTTGATTTATATATGTGTGCAAATAAGTGCATACACACCTACACATTTCCCCCATTATTCTTAAACGATGAATGAAGTTACCTCTGGGCGAATTTGTCGTCATTGGGAATCATCGGAATCATAAGTACCACGGTAATTGGCATATAATTTGAATATCAAGTGAAAATCTGCATTATTTCCCTGTTTATTATGTGAAATAAACATACGAAGCGTAAACTTGTGACTCACCACAGTCGGATTGTTACTGAAGTAACTGAAAACAGTCACTATGATAATATTTCTCCCTGTTGACGACAATCATGATTGTTCAGTTGGATCCTATGGCTTCAGAAGATTCTTCATTAGTTACAGTTCTCCACTACTAGATGTTTATCCAATTTAGGCGTAGAATGTGGTAGTTGCTGGAAAACTGTGCCAACTAAGCACACACGTGATCACAGAGACGACATTTGAAGGAAACGGGTGGAATGAATGTCAGTACATATGAGTCCTATACATGAAGTTTCACGTTGTTGTTCAAGAGGCATATCACCCTGGACATTATAATCTAATGTTATCAGCATAAAGCATGACTGTGGCAACAAAATCAATAACGTTTCGATTGATATTATTGGGACACATAACTATTCAAGAAGAAAGTTTTTAACGTCATACAAACTCCATGGGGATAACTACTTTATATTGAGAATCTGATAGAATCAAATCAGTTGGTTCTGTGACCTTTGAATTAGCTATGCATTCCCTAGATAAGAAAGTGAATTGTGTTAATAAAGATAATTACGAAGAAATTTTGTATCTGCTTGACTGGGTCAGTTTTTGCTCTAAACTCTACCGAATTTCTCGGAGACTAATCTAATTTCGTCTTCTTCCCAAACAAAGTAACTCATTAACTGCTCGAAAATAATGAGAAGTTTGATGACGAACTGGCTTCAGTTATAGAACTATTGAAAACCAGATAGTACTGGATAGTACTGAAATTATTTCGTGTTTAAAAACTTAAAATAACTCAAATACTCGTGACGGAGAACTTGAAAACAATTAAAAGATTTGATAACTAATTAATTTTATGAAATGACACAATATTATTATTATTATTGTATCCTTTAGTTCCTACTGGAACATAGGGCTTCAGCTGCGCACCTCCATTGACTTCGGTTTTCTGACAACTTTTTCACCCTGCTCCAGGTATGTCCACATGCTTTCATCTCCTCCTCGCATGACCTCCTCCAAGTCACCCTTGGACGACCAACTCGCCGCCTCCTTTCGGGTTCCACTCGAGGGCTTGTCTAGTGATGTCACTTGATGGTTTCCTCAGCGTATGGCCAATCCATCTCCATTTCTTCCTGCCTATTTGTTTCACAATCGGTTCCTGATTGGTTCGCTCCCAGAGATCCCTGTTGCTGATCTTTTCTGGCTATCTGATCTTGAGTATTGAGCGGAGACAGCTGTTAATGAAGGTTTGAAGTTTGTTTGAGATGCTCTTTATGACTCGCCAAGTCTCTGATCCGTATAGTAGCACTGACTTCACATTGGAGTTGAAAATCCGGATCTTATTTTTGATGCTGAGTGCTGTTGACCTCCACACAGATTTGTGAGTAATGAAAGCTTGTCTTGCTTTTCCGATTCTGGCTTTGATGTCCTCGTCAGTTCCGCCTGTAGTTGAGACGATGCTTCCCAGGTAGGTGAAGGAGGTTGTTTCTTTCAGGTTCTTCCCATTTATGCTTATTGTGGTCTGTTGGTGTTGTTGATGTTGGCTAGGAATCTTCATTATCTCTGTTTTATCTATGTTCACGTGAAGTCCTATCTTTGATGCTTCTTCTGCCAACTTGTTACTTTTCACTTGCATATCTTCCAGTTTATGGGAAATCAGACATATATCATCGGCGAAATCCAGATCCTCCAAGTCTTTTGTGTCAGTCCATTTTATGCCTGTTCCCTCGTTGGTTGCCGTTGTCTGTCGCATTATCCAATCAATTGCAATCAGGAAGATCATTGGTGATAGTAGACAGCCTTGCCTCACTCCCGTCCTCACTTCGAAGGCTTCCGTAAGTTTCCCGTTGTGGATTACTTGGCATGCAGCATTGTCGTATAACTGTTGGATGAGATGTATAATTGTCGATGGGACCCCGTAGTAGCGAAGTAGTTGCCAAATGACCTCTCGATCGACGCTGTCGAAGGCCATTTCAAAGTCGATGAAGTTGAGATAGAGAGGTGACTGCCATTCCAAGCTTTGTTCAATGATGATCCGTAGAGTGGCG